TATATATATGTATGTATATATTACTATGCAAAATTAAATTTCATTCTAAACTTAGAAAAGTGACAATTCTCTTTAAGAAACTTACCTAACAATTTTCCTCTTATAACAATTATATTTAATGTCACCGCGCTACCTATAATAAAATCAAATCATGTACATATTATGCTTTATAGTTTCTATTACCAAATCATATATCAATAGGTTGCATTTGGTTCAATTTACTTTGAAATAATGTTTTTAGTTTTCAAAAATTTATAATATATATTCCAATTTTATACTAATTTTTTTAATATATTCCAGATTTTATCATTATCTAATTCGAATACAATTTTTATTTAAAATAAATATTTTGAAAGAAATATTTTATCTTCATTTATTTTTTAAAATTATTTACATATTTATTTTGAACACAATTAATTAATTTTTAAATCATATTTTATTTTATAGGATAGTATATTATTTCATTCAGTTCGATTCAATGTTAAACGTCCAAATACGATCATTAATTCACTAACTCACGGGCTCAATTCAACAAATGTAAAATATATCACTTAATTTTCATATATATAAATGTATATGATTAAATCTGGTTATAACATAATTCCACGCGTATGTATATATATACACAATACACGTGTGCATATATGCGAGTGCATATATTTAGCCCCCCTCGCCCTTTGTCTACATGCAAAATTTCATCTTATTTTATTTCCCCAAAAATCGAAATGATAAATAACGACGGTTGTTGCCCTCAGAAAGATAAGAAGACGGTGACACACGGCGGCGGAAATTACAAGACGACGCCGTTTCACGCAAATTCCCTGACGGCGCGTGAGATGGAATCGCTGTGGGCCATCTGCGACACCTTGATACCATCCATCAACGGCTCGGAAGTGTGCCACGTGGACGACCATGTCGCCGGCTTCTTTGCCGCCTCGGCTTCTCAGATGGGAACTCCCGACCGCGTAGGTGTTTGCATATAAGTATATATATATATATAATGTATAAAAAAAAGTATATATATATATATATAATATGTATACACACACATGCATTCTGCACATACATACATACATACATACATACATACATACATACATACATACATACATACATACATACATACATACATACATACATACATACATACATACATACATACATACATACATACATACATACATTCATTCATTCACCAAAAGAAACTGTCTACAGAAATATTCACAATTGCTGAAAAAAGATATGCTTTTTTTTTCCTTATTTTTTAAAATTCTTGGTAAGTTTTTGTGTAGTTTGGAACTCGGGATTTTAGTTGAAGCTCGAAATCATTGAAATGATTTAGCTTAGTTAAATAAAATTTACCGGATGTTAATTTGATTTGCATAATTTATTTGAACTATTTATTTATATTTACCCCTAAAAAAGGAAAAAAATAACTGATGATTTTTTTATGGCACTGGAGTTGAGGTTTAGTATATAAGATCAACCATACCATGTGATCGTTTTCTTAATCTACAAACGATTGACCAATGGAAAGGCTTCAAAAAACGCATTAGAATTTTAAAAAATGACACATATCATTTTATTTTATTTTATCATTTTTTTTGGTAAGGATACATATCATTTTAAAAGCCATCATTAGATCGATTAATGATTATTTATTCGTCAATAATACAACCGATCATCTACTATATCTGAATGCATAGTTTTATAGATATTCTGAGTATAATATCATTGAAAATACTTGAGATTCAGTGTTATGATATATATATATATATATATATATAGAGAGAGAGAGAGAGAGAGAGAGAAATAATTTTATTTTTTTAAATATTATAAGAATCTAAAATAAAATAATGGCATATAAGTTTAATAATTATATTAAATAATACGTAACCATGAAATTAATTTCCCCACGCATACCATACTCCAAAATCCAAATCAATGAAACATAGAGGCCAACAACTTTCGAGTACTTCTGGTCTGGATGTGTTGATGTCATTATTGTAGCCATCATCGATTAGGAATTTTCAGACAGCTATGTACTTGTGATATATGAACGTCGGTATCATATAATTTTCAAAAAAGAAAAAAAAAAACAAGGGAGTCCCTCCAAATTTAAATGTTATTTCCATCTCGGTAATTAACTATAATCAAACTTATATTAAATATTCAATTTATTTTTTTTAATTATATTTTTTAAAATTGTTTTGATTGGGTGACGTTTAGGTGGCGAGGAAAATAAGCGGGACACTTGACCACCCAAAGAAGTGGCTATTAAGAGCAGCACTCTGGTTGCTGTCCACTCACATCGGAAGTCTCGTCTTATGTGGTCGGAAAAGCTTTTCCGGCGAGTTTCCGTACTGCCGGAGATTCTGCCGGTTGCCGCAGAAGCAGAGAGAAGAGATTATGCTCTCATGGGCTTCGAGCTTTTTCTCTCTCCTCAGAATGTTCTTCAAGGCCATGAAACTCATCACGGCCCTCGTCTTCTTCACTCAGGCAGATTCTCATTTAACTTTTTTCAGATTGTTGTTCCGACACACGTGAGGTTTTGTTCAGTCCGAACACGATCGATCTGTTCGTGAATGGTTCAGGTGGATGAAAAAGGCAAGAACTTGGCATGGGAGGCAATAAGATACACAGGACCGATCTCAGATTCAGAAGACAGCGACCAAGAGGATCAGACGATACACAGAGAGCATCAAGAGAAGACGAAGAAGGAGCCTGAACAGATCTTCGGACCAATCTACAATGGCATTGTCGATCTCATGAACCCTAGAGAAGTTGTCATAGAAACACTAAACCGCCATGGATTCCAAGTTTCGACTCGAACGGGAAAGAACAGTCATGGAAGAGATCGTCGACCCGGGTCTTCAATTTCCGACCCGGTCATGAAAATCCGGTGCGATGCGGTGGTGGTTGGGTCGGGATCCGGTGGAGGAGTGGTGGCCGGAGTTCTTGCGAAAGCCGGTTACAAAGTGTTGGTGTTGGAGAAAGGGAATTACTATGCGAGAAACAATCTTTCTTTGCTCGAGGGGCAAGCAATGGAGCAGATGTACTTATCCAGCGGGTTAGTGGCCACGGCCGACATGAACACCGTGATCCTCGCTGGCTCTTCGGTCGGAGGCGGCTCGACGGTGAATTGGTCAGCCTCGATCCGAACACCGGAAAATGTGATCAAGGAATGGTCGGAGAAGTGTGGGCTTAAACTGTTTGAGAGTGGATTTTACAGAGAGGCAATGGATGTAGTATGTGAAAGAATGGGTGTTCAAAGTGGATTTGTGGAAGAAGGGTTTAACAATGAGATCTTGAGGAAGGGTTGTGAAGCACTAGGGTTTCCGGTGAAGTCGATTCCAAGAAATTCTTTGGCCGACCATTACTGCGGGTTCTGTTGCTTCGGATGCAAGAAAGGTCGGAAGAAGGGAACCGCCGAGACTTGGCTCGTAGATTTGGTCGATTCGGGCAACGGTGTGATCCTTCCCGGCTGTGAAGCACTTCAAGTCTTACAAAGGCGAGAGCGAGGGAAGAAGACAGCGGCTGGAGTTGCATTTCTCTTCGAGAATATTGACGAGGCGAGAAAAGAGATTTACGTTGTGGAATCGAAAGTGACGATCGTCGCTTGCGGGGCACTTAGAACGCCTATCTTGTTAAGAAACAGCGGATTGAAGAACCCTAACATCGGAAGAAACCTTTGTCTACATCCCGTAGCGATGGCATGGGGATGGTTCCCGGAAGAGAAGTGGCCGGGGAAGGGGAAGAAGAGCTACGAGGGAGGGATTATGACGACAATGTCTACAGTCTCAGCTGATGCCGAAGTAGAATCGCCAAATTCTTACGGCACGACGATCATTCAAACCCCGGCCCTTCATCCCGGGATGTTCTCCGGTATCATTCCGTGGACCTCAGGCAAAGATTACAAGAACCGCATGCTAAAGTTCTCAAGAACTGCCCATGTTTTCGCGCTTACGAGAGACAAAGGTTCGGGGGAAATCCGATCCCTGAATTCCATCACCTATACCCTAAACGGAACAGACGAAGAGAATCTAAAGAAGGGTATAGAGAGAATCTTGAGGATTCTTACAGCGGCAGGGGCTGAAGAGATCGGGACGCACAACTTGGAAGGGAAGAGCTTGAATGTGAAGGCGGCAAGCTCAGAAGAGTACGAGAGGTTCGTGAGAGAGGAGAGTTCGAAGCCGTTGAAGGGGTTGTCAGGGCAGATATGTTCGGCTCACCAAATGGGGAGTTGCCGGATGGGAGTTGCGGCCGAGAAATCTGCGGTGAGGCCGACGGGGGAGACGTGGGAGGTCGAGGGCCTATTCGTGGCGGACACCAGTGTTTTTCCGACAGCTTTGGGGGTGAATCCTATGGTCACTGTTCAGGCCATCGCTTATTGTGTCGGAAGTTATGTTATTGATGTTCTAAAGAGGATGTAATTGGCTTTACGAGAATGTAACGGAAAAAGAAAGGGGAAGGAATATGTATCGAACAAATGAAGAAAACACAATCAAAACCTGTTCCGTAGAAACCGAGTCTTTCGATGTCCTCATCACGGTAGCCGCGAAACACTGAAACTGTGTTAAGAACAACGAAAGATCAGAACGAAACGACCGTTCCTGCAGTTAGTCGGATCCTGTCTGAATGTCAACACAAAGCCATATAATATATAGATAAGCTTCACAATATCATATCTGTTGTGATAAAAAAAAAAAAGGTGTCAACTATTTCACACGAAAGCCAAACCATCAATCTCTCACCAGAGTCAAATAGTGTATCTGGGAATTATTTAAGCATCAGGGTCAGATAAAGAGTTGTAGCAGTAAAGATCTTCTCACTTCCACTTCTTGAATTTTCCTCCATGCTTCCCGTGTTTGAACTTGCCGTGCTTACCGTGCTTGAACTTGCCGTGCTTGCCGTGCTTGAACTTACCGTGACCACCATGACCATGGCCGAGCACATGACCATATGGGTTGTGAGAGCTATGGCCTACGTGCTGAGCTCCATAGGCCGCTGCAGCTGCACCAGCCACCCCTGCTACCAAAGCCCCAACCCCTGCTCCATGTCCTGCCATTACATGAAACAACCAAAAAGGTAAAAACCGATGATACAGTAGAATTTCTCCAGATTAATGTCAAAAGAAGCCTGTCTTGAACAAGGTACATCAGAATGGTGTTATGGAAACGCTCCAAAGGTTTAACATTCAGACAATTTATAAACAGATTATTACGTAATTGATGGACGGAATCAAAATAGAAATTGCAAACCACAACTAAATTCACCGACAGGACAGGGAAGTGACAGTTCCATTGGATAAGCAGATCATGAAGGATCAACGATGAAATAGGTCTAAAGAAACGTTTATCAGATCGATACCACAACGAACTACACAGGAAATGGATAAAATGAACATACCAGAATGATGCTGCCCAGGGTAGCCGGCAGGGGGATACCCTCCGGGAGCAGGAGGGTATGCTCCGGGAGGATACCCTCCTGGAGGGGGATAGCCTCCCGGAGGAGGATAACCTTGAGGCGGATAACCAGCAGGAGGATACGCCCCAGGAGGCGGTGGGTACTGCCCCGGGGGATACCCGTGAAAGCCTTTGTCCTGATCACCATGCTTGTCCTTGCCACCTCCCATGTTTTTTCTCGATCAGCAACGATCTACATGAACATAACATCACGATATTGATCAGTTTAATCTCTAAACTCGAATTAACTAGCAGTTTACACGGATTTATGGAAACCAAATTCAACAGATTGTGGATCACAGCAGTTATGTTGAATCGTTTTGAGTCAATATGAGATCCACCGCCACAATTTGAATCACAAACAAGTCAAAAGGGTAAAAATGCAACGTCCAACCAAAATCTATAGAGAAGAAACAAAAGAACAAATGATACGAAGAATTTGTGGTGTTCAGATAACTCCAACCACTATTTACCACAAACAAAGATCAAAATAAAGTGTGGAAATACGGACCCTTGTTTGGCCAAAGGCCCATAAGTTACACACGAACACATACATATATGCATGGCATACCCTACAATCGGATCAAAGACACGAAACCGGAACCCTTTCGGCGACGAACGAAAATCGATTCGATCAGACAAATCAAACGAGGAAAAACAAAAAACGGATCAAACGAGTAAAGCACATAACGATCACCACAAATCAAATTACAAAGAAAAAATATGGTTGAATTGCAGAAAAAATCAGACCAAAATAGGGAAATGTTTACCTACGAATCGCGAAGAAAAAAGTCAAAATGAGGAAGAAGACAGAGATAAGAACGAGCTCTGAATAAATACCATTTATATGCGTGTAAGATATTTATTTTCTTACTCGCTACATAAACTTTCATTTCATTTTGGTCCTCGTATTTTAGTATAAATCTTAATCTGACACTTAAAGTTGTAGATGTTAATTTACATCCTAGTCCGCCTGCCATGGGAGCTCCCCTGGCCTGAGATCCCACAATTGTAAAAAACAAATCACATATCTTTTATATATTGTTTTAGAAAAAATTAAAAACTGTCAAATATTTATTTGAATTTCACTTTGGGTTGGACCAAGGCAGATATACTTTATTTGAATCTAACACAATCACTGATTTTGATGGTTGAAAGAAATTATTGACGAAAGGAACACCATATGTTTATTTTGTTTAAACTTTAATGTATGCATCAGATTCCTTGTTACATAGGTTTGGATTTTTTTTACAGGGTTTGAATTTAAATGAGATAATATAGAAAAATATATTTATGAAATTAATGACAAAAATCGACCACAGTGGTGTTTTATATACATAATGTCGTACGACGGGCAGTCTCTTAGGCCTGTCTTGATCTAAGCCCAATAAGGAACGGGCTCCACTGGGCCCGTTTCGCCCCGACCCGAACCGCCATTTTCACCTGTTAGAATAGCTGCGGAGACCCCATGGACGGGGGAGAAAGAGAGTTGTAGCACTGAAGAAATGGCGGGCAGGAGCAGTGGAGGAGGAGCGAAGGATCTTCATGCGGCGGCGAGGTCCGGCGACTTGGCGGCGGTTCAGGCTATCCTCAGCTCCAATCCTTTGGCCGTCAATTCTAGAGATAAGCATTCTCGGACACCGTATCCTTTTTCTTTTTCCCTCTTCTCTCAAATTCTCTCGTTCTCTATTTCACGGTTCGTTCGATTTTTCATGTTTGTTAGGTGAATCTTTTTTTCCTATTTGTTATTTTGTTGGCTTTGTCATAGTTAGGGTTCCTCGCGAGATTTAGGGGCAAAACCCTTTTGTCTGGTTTGAGAAGCTTTCTGACATCGATTCTGTTGGCTTCCGTTACTAGTTGACGATGATTTTTCCGTTGAGAAGTTCATTTGGCTGAAATTTTCGGGTTACTATGGTAGCTTTACATGTCTCTGTTCTTACATGATACGTGAATTCGCATCTTTCAGATGCTGAGGAAAGTATTCGATACATCTTTTTTCTCTTTAGTCTGAAAGAACATAGTTTACTCTCTGTGTCCAAAGGAATCTGATGATAAGAAAACCATAGACTTATAAGGCTTCCCTTCATTTTCACCATTCGGTTCATTCCAACTTGATGCACAGTGGAATCTTTTGGCTATGAATGTTCGCCCGCTTCTCTTTTCAGCAGATGAATTTATGACTATGTATTTAGCTTTCATGTCTCTCTGGTTGTCGAATGTTAACATTTGGTCAAGCTTTTAGTGTTTTCAATTTGAATGGGTTAATACGCTTATGCTCCTATATCTATTTGATTTTGAGGGAGAATGATGAAGTGAATACCATATGGCTTGTAAACTATACTTAGAGCAGTGTCTGTTTGAATACTTGCATTGGCATCTCTTCTTCTGCATTCTTTTCCTTGACATCAGCCCTCATGGGCAAGCAGACTACACTTAGCAGCATGGGCAGGTCATGTGGAGGTGGTGAGCTACCTCTGCAAGAACAAAGCCGATGCAGGAGCTGCAGCCATGGATGACATGGGTGCTGTTCACTTTGCTGCCCAAAAGGGACACTTGGAAGTCGTAAGAACGCTCTTGTCATCCGGGGTTTCTGTAAAAGCTGTCACTCGCAAGGGCTTTACCCCGCTTCACTATGCTTCTCAAGGTTCCCACCTCGAACTCGTGAAGTACTTGGTGAAGAAAGGTGCCGATACCAGTGCCAAGACGAAAGCCGGGAGAACCCCGTTGGATCTGGCGGAAGACGACGAAGTTCAGAAGTTTCTGAAAGAACTGAAAGAGCAGTCCAAGAAGAAGGCCAAGGAAGTGAAACCACATATTCCCGAGGAAGGGGAGGATGCGAAAAGGAAAGAAGCCATGGATGGAGACGAGGAAGAAGAAGGTGAGGTGAGAGCCAAAAGGCCGAAAGTTGCTCTGCATCACCTTCAGGACATTGATGACACGGAAGAAGGTGACCTAGATGAAACCTTGGAACCACAAAAATGATACTTTGTCTTAGCCCATCTGAATTGTCTTCCTAATAGAGTTGTAAGCATTGTAAGTGATGGAACAGCTTCTCCAAACTTCGTTCTCTATGTCCTGCCTTAGTTTTGTTCCTTTTCTTTTATGATACTCCAACGAATAGCTGTTCAATTTCTGTTCTGAATCCCGTGGAAAATGCACAAAGAACTTTTTTTTTTTTGTAAGTACAGAAATGAGAAACCATTGAAAAAAAAATTACCCTTTTCCCCCCACGTGTAATCTACAACCCGGCTCAAGATAAAACCCGGATCCGACCCGAAACCAGATCCTTGGCTGCGCGTTCTTCTTCTGCTTCTTCCTCCGAGGTTTTATCTCAACTACGTCGTCTTCGCAGCCATGGGAACCCTCTCTCTCTCATCTTCATTGAAACCTCACCTCGTCTCGCACAGACTCTCTTCTCCTTCTTCGTCCTCTTCCTTTTCTTCTTCTTCTTTTAGGCCCTGCAATCGACCTATTTTCGCGTCACTGAAGTCTCCGCCCTCGCGGACCAAATTCTCCGATGGCTCCATAATGTTTTCGGCGCCTCAGACGCCGGCGACCGCCATGCGTGGCGCCGAGTCCGACGTCATGGGGCTTCTCCTTAGGGAGCGTATCGTATTTCTCGGCAGCAGCATCGACGATCTCGTGGCCGACGCCATTATGAGTCAGTTGCTGCTTTTGGATGCCCAGGACCCTAAGAAAGACATCAAGCTCTTTATCAATTCCTCTGGCGGATCCCTCAGGTTCAATTCCTTTTCTTTTTTCTCATCTGTGTTTCCACAATTGTGCTGTCCAAATCGATTTCCCCGGTTGCTGAGAGTAGTCGAGGTTTTAGGGTTCTAATTTGGAACTGAAAGGAATTCCTTTTGCCTCGGTGGATTGTTTGTAAGGGTAACCTTATTCTACGTTTCATCAGCAATCTACTGGATAAAGAGTATGATGCCTTGTGACTCGAATGGTTTCCAGATAAGCTTAATTCAGTTGAACTGTTCATACCATTGTTGATCTGAGCTCTGTAAGAGATGAAAACCATCTGAGACGATTCTGTCTTGTTGTCCTAAACTGAAGTACTTGTTCCATTGCCTGGTAACGCTGTTGGGTGTCTGAACTGAACTCTCTTTCTGTTGCTAATGGACCTCCTGTTTCTTTGTTTCCATTAGTGCAACCATGGCTATATACGACGTGGTGCAGCTTGTGAGGGCTGATGTCTCCACAGTTGCCTTAGGCATATCGGCATCAACTGCTTCCATAATCCTCGGCAGTGGAACTAAAGGCAAGCGCTTTGTGATGCCCAACACTCGTATAATGATTCATCAACCTTTTGGAGGTGCCAGTGGCCAAGCCGTTGATGTCGAAATCCAAGCCAGGGAAGTGATGCATAACAAGAACAATGTCACGAGGATTATCTCGGGTTTCACTGGTCGTACATTTGAGCAAGTCGAGAAAGATATAGATAGAGACCGGTACATGTCCCCCGTTGAAGCAGTTGAGTACGGGATAATAGATGGAGTCATCGATAGAGACAGCATCATCCCCCTGTTTCCTGTACCCGACAGGGTGAAACCAAGACTAAATTACGTGGAGATCAGTAAAGATCCGAGGAAATTCTTGACGCCAGATATCCCTGATGATGAAATATACTAGTCAGACCCGACTGGACCAGGTGCGCGATGCTACTTCCATCTTTCTTCGTTTTCCTTTTGTTATGTTATGTTTCCGTCTATTCGATGAAAATGGCTCAACACAAAGAAACAAATTTTACAAAACCAGTTCTTTCTTCATTAACTAAGATGGATAGCCATCTCAACAATTAGACTTAAGTCAAGGATAATAGCTTAGCCATGACATCATCTGAAGACTTATCTGATGATGTTGTTCTCTTCTCTCACCGGATTTCTTCCCTCATTGCTCGTATACAGGGAACCGAGGGAGGGAAAAGCTCGTTTTGTCTCCGTCAGAGCTCGACTTTGCATCACATCCCGTATTCCATTAACTGTGAAATCCATTGTCTTAATCAAAATCGGTTCCAACACAGTTGCTTGAAGAACAGGTTGTATTACCTATTACATGTACACTGTCATCGTTCTCAGTTGTTTTTTGCATTCTAATAGCCAATTGTATCAGAAAAAGCTGAGCTGGACAAATTCTGAATATGATGGTCATTTCGCCTTAAACTAGTTTCAATAAATCCTCACTCTTAGCATGAAAACATCCTCTGTTTCTTGGTACTTAAAAGAATCACTGCTTTTGTATTGAGGTTTCTTACAACTACTTACTCCTTGGAAGGTTGTGTTTCAAAATGGAACCTAAACCGACACAATGGACAAAGATGGCTTAACTCGAGCCACTGCACAATACACAGTTGTAAAGAAGCCACTCTCGCCTCCGACGTGAAATCCTCTAAGCAGATTACACAGTTGTTCTCCTCTGTGGTAACGTTCATTTGCCCGAACATCGTTGTTTCCTTCAACAATGATTCGATGGTAAACTCGGTTGCCGGTACAAACCCGGTTATGATCTCATCATCAAGCGATTCTACGCCCCAAGACTCATTCTCAGTCTCCCAAGGCTCATTCTCACTCTCTCCAGGGTAGAATTCCCAAGGGTCATTCTCAGTCTCTTCAGGGTCAGCTGTAGAATCCACTTCATATTCCCACCGGGAATGATCAACGATGATAACCCGGTCATATACGTATTCTCTGATGTTCCAAGGTTCATCGTCCTCGTATTTGTGGATTATCCTGATCAAAGGGTCGTCCATGTACTTATCCACGGCAAGGAAAACCTCGACAACCAACATTAAAACCCCTTCGGGTTGCACATCATGGATGACTTGCAAGGCGAAATCGTGAATGCTGTCTTTCAAGGCCTCTGCAGTAACCTTATCCATTCCCGAGCTTTGTAAGAAATAAAAAAACATCTCTCTATTCCCTCCAACAATCTCAGGTGGTGATGGAAGCGAAGATATCTGCAGCGTTTGATGATCCGTGGAACCATCGTTGTTGTCACGGACAACGCTTAGTTCGAGTCTCGTCCCTAAACCTCGTCCATGGGTTTCTGCACTGTCGAGAGAGTATCTCAGCAAGCTCTTAAAACAGCAGGAGCCCCTAGCGTGGCTCGGAGTGTTATCAGGGTCGATGAAACTATTAATCGTACGATCGATTTCCAAGAGCTGTTCCAACTGGACAAAAAACCGTACGTACCCGAAGGGAATGATCGACGACGATCAACCGGTCGTGTACGGCTTCTGTGATGTTCCAAGGTTCGTCATTCTCGTACTTGTCGATTCTCCTGACCAAAGGGTCGTCCACGTACTTATCGTCCGTACGTTTCACGGCGACAGCCACTGTCACGACCCCTCGGAAATCTCCGGGCTGCGCATCGATGGCTCGTGAAGCGAAACCGCAGATGCTCAGCTCCAAGAAGAGAGCGGCGGCTCGTCTATTCCCGAACCTTTCAAGAAATCAAGGAACCGTTCTCTGTTCGGTCTGGTAATCTCGTGCGACGAAAGCCCGTACGTTTGCCTTTCCCCATCCACGGATATTATCAGTTCTGGAACTGTATCGTTTCCTCCCTGCGGATGTGCCGTTAGAAAGCACTTCTGTAGAGACTTGAAACAGCAGAAACTCATACTGTCTCCCTCGAGGTTTTGTTTTCACTACGGGATCTGATCTTACAGGTGGAATATATTCGTCTAGGGTTTTGGAGATATACAGAGAGATTGCCAAGAAAGTTTGCTTAAAACCCTAGATCCTATCGATAAATTTTGTGTAGATTTTGTCGAGGGGTTATACTACAAGTAATGAATAAAAAAAATATAATAATGAATAAAAAAATATAAGGGAAGCCTAAAAATTCGGAAATAATGCTCTCCAAGAATTGGAAATCTTATAAAGGGGAAAAGGAAAGAATTATTTTCAGATTATAACTGTTTGTTTAATTAAAAAAAAAGTGTATCTATTTAATTGTTTAATTACGAGGAGGTCATTCACGTCATTATATCAAAACTATCTTTAATTTGTTATATTTAATTCGGACCATATTTATTTATTTATTTTTGTGTGACAAATATGACCATATATATGACTAACACATAAAGTTAAACGGTATAATCAATATGACTAATCATTATGTAATTTTAACTACATAACCTACAAATAGATCATGATAATCACATTAATCACATAAGGTATGGTATAAAATATATATAGCAAAGTAGGTTCATTAAATCCTCTCTCAGCATGGGACATTTCTATTCAGAGACGGAGCGGGGGAGCATATAATCAGGGAATTATTATATTACCTCGTAAATTCCGTGTTCTCTTGGTTTTTAATTAGGATTAGCGGTGGCAATTATGTAAATACGTAAGCTGAGAGGGGCATTTCCACCGAACAACATGCATTGTCTTCGCCAACACGGAGTCGCCGAAGACCATTTCCATGTCCTTCTCTTCCACATGTTTGACGAAAACATAAAACCAACAACCGGAGAGACCAAAGAAAAAAAAAAAAAAGAACACCAAAGGGATTCAACAACAACGAAAAAAGGATATATAATCAAAGAGATAGATTTAAAAAAAAAAATTATTTTTGGCGGAATAAGATGAGACAATGTCATTCTCGATGGAATGCTTTGTAATTTATGGGTTGGTTATTGGATTTTGTGTGGAGGGCGTTACGGCGTTCGAGAATATGAACCCTATATTCTTCGACGAAGGGCTCTCTCATCTGTTCGGCGACGGCAACCTAATCCGGTCTCCCGACGACCGGAGCGTCCGTCTCCTCCTCGATAAATACACCGGTAACTTCTTCTGTATATTCTGTTCTTTGATAATATTCTATGATGGTTGAGAATGTATGTATATATATATATACATACATGTATAGGCTTCGATATATGACATTAACGGAACACGTGTTTGGAACTAGAGAGGTATTGTCCATGAAATCGAAAGAGTTACGTGTTCAGCGTGCGTGTGTGTGTATATGTATATATATATCGAGATTTGAGAACACGAGATCATCATCCGGTATAAAACTATGAAACGAGAATGAGTACAAGATCTGATCTTTTTATCTATTTGACACATGCAGACGATGAGATATCTTTCATTTATGTATGTTTACGTTACGGATTATAAGTCATATATATATATATATATGTATCGTTAGTAATTATATATAGTTTGAAAACGATCAGGATCAGGATTTATCTCGTCGGACATGTACCAACATGGGTTTTTCAGCTCGCTGATAAAGTTGCCCGGAGCTTACACCGCCGGTATTGTCGTCGCTTTCTACGTAAGAATAAGAATCGCCGCTTTATTTCAAGCCTTAGCATATATGATCTATTCTCACAACATATATACGATTTCCTAATCAACGAGTATTTACATATTCTATGACTACATGAAGACATCGAACGGGGACGTGTTTGTGAAGAACCATGACGAACTAGACATCGAGTTTCTCGGGAACATACAAGGGAAGCCGTGGAGATTTCAGACAAACATGTACGGAAACGGGAGCACGAACCGCGGCAGAGAAGAAAGGTACCGCCTTTGGTTCGACCCATCAAAAGAATTTCACAGATACAGCATTCTATGGAACCCCCGCAAAATCATGTACGTATCAAAAACATTTTCTCGTCATTACAATCATCATAACCCTAAGTTTTATATTTAATCTTTTTTCTCACGTAAAAAAACCCCTATATATAAACAGATTTTGGGTGGACGACGTACCGATAAGAGAGATCATAAGAAAAGAAGAGATGGGAGGAGACTATCCACAAAAGCCGATGTCGCTTTACGCCACCATATGGGATGCTTCGAGCTGGGCCACCAATGGCGGAAAGTTCTCCGTCGACTACTCCTTCTCTCCCTTCGTCTCCGAGTTCAAAGACGTCGTCCTCGACGGCTGCCACGTGTCCGACCCGAACAGAAACAGCAGCAACTGCTCTTTGTCCGAAGACGCTTTCCTTCTGACCAGCGATTACGCCCGCATTACGTCCAGACAGCGTGCGGAGATGCGGAGATTCAGGGAAAGGTTCATGTACTATTCCTACTGTTACGACAGCGTTAGGTACGCCGTTCCACCGCCGGAATGCGTCGTCGTGCCGTCGGAGAAAGAGCGG